GTTAAGTGACACATGGTGGGTGTGGCTGCACTTTGGGAGAAGTCGTCAGGGCGTGTACCCACTTGGGTTGTCATTTCTCACCATTGGCCATATCTGCTCTGGCTTCCCAACTCTCGGGAAAGAATCCTCTCGGAAACTCCTTTTATTACACTCAGAACTATCTTAGTCAGCCCAGGATGCCGTGACAAAATACCACAGACTGGGTGGCTTCTGTAAAATTCTTGCAGAATTTTCTTCTCATGCTTCTGGAGGCTGGACCTCCAAGATGAAAGGTGCCAGCAGAGTCAGTGTCTGGTGAGGGTTCTCTCCTTGGGTTCCAGACAGCTGCCTTCTCACTGACCTCACCTGGCCTTTCCTCAATGTGTGTAGGTGGAGAGAGAGCGAGCGAGCTAGTCTTCTTAGAGGGGCACTAATCCCACCATGAGGGCCCCATCCTCGTGACGTGATTAACCCTAATTACTTCCCTCACTTTCATCTCTAAATACCATCACGGTGGGCTTAGGACTTCAACACAGGCAGCTGGGGAGGACACACATGGTCCATTGCAGGGACTGATGTCCTGATCAGGCTGATGCCTGCATCTCTGTGACATTATGCTCATGCTCACATTAGATGTGGTGGCTGCGTGGAGAGAACAGGTGGGCTCTGGGTGGGAAAATCACAGCGGACTTTGAGGATGCTGAAAGCGGGTTTGGGGAGAGGGCTTTGGCAGGTCTGTGCCGGCCCAGTTCCTCCGTGGGTCCTTCTGCAGAGTTTAGTTTTTCTGAGACAGATCAGTGCAGCCCTGCTGAGCAAAGCCTTGCCAGCTCTGGGTGAGGCTTCAAGGTGGCCACAGTCTGTTCTCTCGGACTTCGAGCTGATCCTGGGAGCAGAGAGTGGTTGGTAGGAATCATCCCAAGACAGGGAAAACCTGGGGTTTGCACATTGGCTTCTCCACATTTAAATTCATATTTGCTCTGTGCCGGGCGCTGCTGGAGCACTTTGAAAACAGCCTTTTGAAGTAGTGTGTGAAGTTCAAGCAGAAGCAGAACTGCTCTTCATGGTCAGAACAGGGCTTTGCTTCAGGGATGAGGCCATAGCGGATGGCGGGGCTGCGGCTCCGGAATCTGGGTCTGAAGTCAGCAGGACTCCCTGGCAGGAGGCAAATGTCGGTGAAGAGCAGAGCAGAGCAGGACAGCCTGGTCCCGTGAAGGTGGACTGAAGCCACATCCAACCCGCACGGTCTCAGCCCCAGTGACACGGGGTGATCTGCAGAGAAGGCTTTGTCATGAAGCTGCGCACATGCCCGGCTCAGGGCTCAGAGAAGCTGGAGGGGGCTTCCAGTGGGAGCCGGAGGAGCTGAGAGCCTGCCTGCTGCCCTTTCTCCTCCACCTTCCGAATCTCACGCTGATGTCTCTGGTGGAGTGTGACTCGGACCCACTAGCAAGGGACTTCTGGGAAATGTAGTTCCTGCTGATCCCTGTGGCCACACCCCACGGGGGTGGGGGTGATAGGACTACTCTTGTCTCTGTTCTGCAGGTATGCAGAGGGAGAGAGGGAGGGCGGTTCGGTGACTTGCCCAGAGTCATGCAGATATTCAGTGAGGCCTCTGCTAAGGTGCCTTTAATACTGTGCGATGCTTCTCCTTTATTCCCTCAGTAACGCCACCCCCTGTTCCTGCAGGGATTCCACCTCAGAGCCACCCAGTCCATGGAAAACTTCTCTGAGGTGAAGGATGGTCTCAAACAACCCTTCACCCTTGATGAGCCACTGCAGGTCTGAACCATAGTTTCTTCACATTTCGCCACGCATCCTTTTTTCTAGGCAGTAAGTTCCTTAGGTTTCTTTTCTAGGAATGCTTCCCATGCTCTGTCCGCAGTTCACCGTCAGTCCCTAGTGTGGCTGTCTGGCGGCCTGAGTTTGTGCATATATAATGTGTTTGGGCCCTTTGGCAACAATTGCTACCTTTTATTGCATATCAGTTGCCTGCCAGGGGCTGTTGGTATCACACTGCTCTTTATGGAAGAGAGAATAAAGTTTGGAGAGCTTGGGTTTGTTTGCCCAGTAAGCAGCGGAGTCTAGATTTGAGCAGATATTTGCAGGCGTATCACTGCCCTTCGTCAGCCAAGCCCTCGTTCAGCAGTGGGCTCCCCGGCTTGGCAGACCCTGGGGAGGACCAGCAAAGCCATGCTGTCTCCTCTGGAGATGCGTCTGGGGGTAGGAGGGGCACCCCACCCTCCAGCTCCCTGGGACCTAGATGGGGTGAACACAGCCTTTCTCCCCCTCTGGAAATTGAGGGCTTTGCAAACAGGTATTGCATGGAGCCAGAAAGGCTCTGGTCAGGCATGGGCGAGCAAAGTGAGAATTCAGCTTCTGAATCTGTGCCTCAGTCTCCCCACTTCGGCTTTTTGCTGCTGTCTGCATCTAGGTTTGTGATGACATAGGATTCCTTAATCACACTTGCATTTTTTCCGTGTGGGTGCCATCTCCCATAATCAGACTGAGTTCCTACACAAAGCAAGTTGTGATCTGGGGGTCCTTCCCCAGCCCCACCTCCAGCCCCCTTGGCCCCTGCAGTGTCACCTCATGCATGGCAGGGACGTGGGATCTGCCAAGAGGCCCGACTTGAGGAAGTGAAACTTCAGGGAGGTGATTATTTTGAAAAACTTCAAAATGTGGAATAATTTTAGATGTATAAGTCAGTTATAAAGACATTATAGAGAGTGCTCTTACACCCTTCCCCCGGCCTCTGCTAATGTTAATGTCACACGTAGATGACCAGGGTCCCTTTCCCCAAACTGTAAGATTACAACACTGTGAACAAAACTCCAGACTCTGTGCTGGTTTCCCCAACTTTCCCATATAATGACATTTTTCTGTTCCAGGATCCCGGCCAGGACA